CCCCTCTCTACTGGGGAGTTCGACTGTGGGTGATAGGCGGTGGCTATCGAAACTCTCGCCCCGGCTCTCCTGAACACGCTCTGAACCTCGTCGGCTAGGAATTTCGCCCCTCTGTCCATTACTATCTTGCTGACACAACCATACCTAGATAAGTATTCTAGGACGAAGTTCTTTACTTCCTTTGCCGCCTTATTCCTGATAGGTCTACCGTCCACGAACCCAGTGAAATCGTCTCGTATGTTCACGACGTAGTTCATATTGCCTACCCCTTTCGGCATTTTTACTAGATCGATGTGTACCTTCTCTCCTGGTCTGGTCGGATAGGATGGATGAAGTGGCTCTTTGTATTTCACAAGAGCTCTCTTCTGACACTCTTCGCATGTCATGCAGTACCTCTCGACTTCCTTATACTGTCCTTCCCACCAGTACAACCTGCGTACCTTTTCGTAGGTTCCTTTGACTCCCATGTGTTCTCCGACTACCCCGTCGTGAAGCTCCGCAACTATTGTCTGTCTCTCCTCAGGGTCACAGACTACTCGTAAGGGCATCCCCCGAGCCGCTCAGCCTTCGAAACAGATGGCCAGCTCTAAGGCAGTACTGGGCCGCTTGTCTCCGGATATTTGATTCTTGACTCTCCTTTCCTGCCAAATAGAGCCCGATCATTCGGTATTTGCCCTCGTAAAGGTTAACCAGAAAACGCTCGGTGAGTTCTGGCTCTGCCATAGTCAGGGCCCCAACTACTATCGGGCGCTCGGCCTCAAGAGGGATGCGCGAAAGTCCATCTGCCACGGCATTTTTAGTGCCAAATATCCTCTCAACCGTGTAATCGTATAGCCGAATCCGTATTAACCATCGGGCGATGGTCGGGTCCGTCAGACTAAAGTCCTTCTGGAGAACAGAGGCAACCGCGGTGGGGTCTACTCTCAAGATGAACCGTCGCCCATAGATATAGTGTCTGAACGTGTCTAGACACCGGAGAACGGCTAACACTTCCTTCTTGAATTGACTGTAGTTACGCTCAACCGTATTAAGTGTCATACTGTCAAATCTTAACGGTCTTTCCTTCCCTCCAGCGTCCTTCTGAGACAGCAAACCACCTACTGAACATGGTCCAGCATCTGTGGATACTATGAAGGGTCTCTCGGTCTCATCGTCAAAGAATGGCACGCCGAACACGCGTCCTCCCTCCTTAAATTCGTCTTTAAGTTCTTGCATAGCAAGTTCCTGCGAAGAATCCCAGTAGAATTTTTTAGCCTTTCGAAGGAGTAACCTCAATGGCTCAGCCTTCTTCGCATACCCCCGTATGAATATACGCCAGTAACAGACCACTCCTAGAAACTGCCGGACCTCGGTTGGGCTTTGTAATGGTGACGGCCAGTTCAGAAGTTTGTCTAACTTCGCCGGATCTGCTCGGCGTCCTCTCGAGTCACAGATAAAGCCCAAAATCTTAATAGTCGAGACGGCCCATCGGCTCTTTGTTCCGCTGACTGTTAAATTCGCATCGTCCAGCTGCTCGAGTACCGCGCAAATATCTGTTAGGTGCTGCTCGACGAATCTTCTAACTCCAGGTACAACCTCTGTCTCATCCCTGTCTACTG